AGTGGGAGAACTTGCACAATTGCTGGCTGACTAAATACTTTTTTGCCCCACTGTATATGTTGTAACATGCATCCTTTTCTTTATTTATTTGATGGTATTCATGGTTTAATGCATTAATTAATGCTTAAATTATTGTTCCTTTCTGATATTTGAGAAGCAAACATCTACATTTGTATTAGAATTAAATAATTGGTGTGTTACACAGTCTCTAGATAGATTTATCTGATTTGAGCTCTGTAAAAGTATAATCTCACAGTTGCTTGTTTGTTTACAACAGTAATTCAATATTTCAAAGTTGCTTCATTTCAGAATGTATTAATTGTTGGGAATGTTGGATTAATTATTTTTGTGTATGCTTTTAGATGTGATAAAGAAACCAAAGTTTCCTACACTGTGTATAATAGGCTGTCTCTACTGCTGAAATCTTTGCTTGCTATAACAAGGGTGACACCAGCCTACAGGCTCTCAAGGAAACAAGGTCATGAGTATGTCATATTGTACAGGTAATACTGACTTTGATCATCCTCAGAATCAGAAAAAATAGAACTTCAAGTACATTCTACATTGTCTGTATTAAGTTTCATATTTCATGCTGTCACATTTCCATTATTTTTCTCCAGTCTCATATTCTTTAGCATGCTTCCATAGGTCTTCTAAAAGATTTAGTTAACGCTGAGTTTCCATCTTTTTTGAAGTTTTTAATTTCCTGTTAGTCTTATTTTTTAAAAAGTTACTAATGTGTAATTGACATTTTACTGCATTCTTCTAATGTCCGTATAATTTATGAATATCTGTGGGTTTATAGCTATATTTTTCCTTGTGTTTCTTCCGTGTTTCATAACTTAGACAAAATATAGTTAACAAACCTGGGGTTTCATTTTGTTTCATTTCAAATTTCTCAATATTAAGAGGACAGTTGTTTTTGAACTTTGCAGTTTTGCTTCTTAATATTATTATTCATTACTATAATTCTATGTATTACTCATAAAACAAAAAAATGAACAAAAGCAGTTGCATAGTTTTCCCTCTTCTCTTTTCATCTTTATTGCAATGTTATAAAATCTCATTAGATAATTTTAACAAGCCATTGGGTGGGTTCCAGATTTCTTGTAAATATTTGGAAATTATTTTAGCAAATCTAAAGCACTTCATATTCCATGTATTTCTCAACAATTATGGGTTCAGATGTCCTATAATACTTCAGTTTCTTTCCTCTTTTTAGTTTTTTAAATCTATGTGGTCACTAGGAGTCGAGACAGCTTGATGGCAAATATTCAATCAATCAATGTTTAATTTACAAAGATATCAGAGATTCAGTTTATTTTTATTTTAGTGAATAAAAAAGTAAAATAACTACATTCCTTTACTAATTGGGATCCATGCTATTTTAAACAACCTTACATAAAATGATAGGAATAATAATTTAGTGTTTTGTCTGTGTCATGAATTCCACTGTTGCCAAGAGTACTAGTTATTGTATGGTTTCATAATTCCCTGTCCCATGCCCGTATATTGCTCTGTGCAAAAACCGTACAAATCACACTAATTACACTACACTACAAATGTCCATTAGGTAAACATTTTTTCTTAGGGAATAAGTTCTGCTCCACATTGTAGGAATTCACATATTTATAGTGAATTTCTCAGCTAATTTTGTATTTCTATTGTTTTGGAGGAAAGGGGCTGCAGGTTTGTTTGTTTGTTTATTTAGGTGCCATCCAATTCCAAATAGGTTATTAATCTATTAAGTACATTGGACTGCCTGGTTTATTTACTCTGAAAGCAATATTGGTTTATTTTAGTTCTCACTACTGTATTTTCTCCTCCATGATTTTCTGATAAACAAATGAGGAATATAAATTTAATACTACAGGATCTAGCATGTGCAGACCCAGATATAAGTCCACCCTTAACTGTGAAAGTCACTTGGTGTCTTTGTGCTGTAAGCTACGTTCAATGTAATGCTAATTGTTGTAGAAGTAATACTAATGATAATTGAGAATGGAATAATTTTGAAATCACCTATTTACCCTATTTCCAACTACAAGCTCATAGGTCTGTTGGACTCCAAATGTATACTGCTGAGTTTTGTTATTTATTTCATTTGTTAAAAACAGTTAGAATTTAAAAGAAGGGTATATTAATTAAAGCTGAATATCGCTGATTTCAATTAATCCAATCTTAATGTTAGTGATTTCATGGCTTGGAATAAGTAACTGGCTGAGAATCTAGTTTAAACTTCCAGTTTAAAACTGAAATGTATTAATATGGGGAAGCTTTTTGAAGTCTAAAGGGCAAATAAATCTGTAATAGTCTGACTAGGGTACTATTGGGCAACTGTATTTAGGAATTTTCTAGTTAGTCTGCTGCACCTATTGCCAGTTGCCTAGTCCAACTAATAAAATATTATTAGAAGCATATTTCCAAAACACATGTGTATTTAATGAATGGCCTCAGTAAAACTGCAGTCTCAGACAGAATACATAGTGTGTTCTCTAACATTTAAGAAGTACCTCTTTTGTCAGCATCAGCATTTCTATAAACCCTGACGTCTCATGATCTGGCTGGGCCCTAATTTCTCATGTCACTCTCAAATTTAATTGGTTGCTACTACTTTGCATTTTCATTGGCTATTGTCTATGTCCTAGGGCCTATCAGTTAAAACTGACAATATACGGATGGGGTTTTAGACTAAAACCTTACTACAGTAATTTACTTGATCTTATATTTCTTTTGATTTTTT